CTGAATGGGGTTGTCTGTCCCGGGTCCATCTTGCCTTTGAACTTCTTAAGGTTCCTGTCATCCAGCTTCTCTGCTGTGCTGAAGTTTCTCTGAATACCAACTTTCCCCTCCAGAGCATTAACCTCATCCCTCATCTTGGTTTCACCTGCAAATTTGCTGAGGTTGCTCCCCATCATATTGTCTCTGTCACTGATGAAGATGTTAAACAATTGGCTTGTAATCAGCTGCAAGTCAGACTTTAACCTTCAGCCACTACCTTCTGAGCCTGATGGTCCAGGCAGTTTTTCACATACCTTACAGTGTGCTTGTCTAGTCGCTGTCTTCCCAGTTAGTCTGCAAGCATATTAAGTGAAACTGTGTTAAAAGTAACAGATGAAGTAAAAGGAAAATTTTGTTTTCCCCAAAGCCAATCATTGTTCCTAGAAGACAATCGGGTTGGTCAGTCATGATTTGATCTTCCTATGTCCATGGTAGCTGTTCACAGTCACATCTTAACTGTTCATAAGGTGGAAATGGTTTCCATGAGGACTTGCTCTGTGATCTTCCCTGAGAGACTGTTGTTTCCTGGACTGTCCTGCTTTCCCATTTTGAAGATGAGTGTAACTTTTGCCTCCTCCAATCAACAGACCTGTCAAAGGTGAGAGAGGGCAGCCTTACCGTGACCTTGGCCAGTGCCTTCTGCATGTTCATATAAATCCTGTGTTTTCCTCTCTACTTATATGTGCCTAATCTACGTAAGTAGTCCTTAACTCAGCCATCTTTTACTAATGACCAGCAGTCTGAAAAAGAGAAAGTACTAGGCAGAGAGACATGGGGTGGTTGAGAGCAGACTTGTCAGTGAAGACTAAGTCAAAGAAGATAACCAAGTACTTTGGCAGTTTTCCTGTCCTGCGTTATAAGGTTTCCTGCCCTGTTAAATAGTGGGCCAGCATTCTCCTTGCTCCCTTTTGCTACTGACAAATCTGCAGGAGCTTTCTGTTGCCTTTCCCATCCCTTGTAGGTTTCCCGTCCCTTGCAGGAACTCCAGCCAAGCTGCACCCTTCCTATCTCCCTCCCTGTATGCCTCCTCTGTTCCTCCCAGGCGGCCTATCCCTGCTTACACCTTCTGTACATGGCTTTTTAAATTTGAGCTCAGGAGTTACCCATTCAACCAAACCTGGCCTCCTGACTTAACTCCGTGTTTTCTTGCACACTGTTCATATGCTTTAGAGAGGTTGTCTTTCAAGTTCAACCATTTCTCCTGAGTCTCTTGGAATTTAGGGTAATTATACCACAGTCTACCACTTCCCGATTTCCTGAAGAAGCTAAGACTGGTGCTCTGAAATCCAGGATCTTTAGTCTGCTATTTGCCCTCCTCACTTTCCTGAGTATTTTAAATCTTTATGTCACCTCATAGTCACTCTGGCTAAGGCTGCCGTCAGCCTTCATGTCCCTGGCCATTTCTTCCTTAATTCGTACCATGTCTAGCAGTGCACCTTGTCTACTTAAAGGAGTGCCTGCAGAAGAAAAGTCTTCGATGCTCTCCAGATTGCCTGTGGCCTGCTGTTCTGCTCTTCCAGCAAATGTCTCAAAGTTCCCCATGAAAACAAGTGCTGCAATTATGAGGCATCTTCCAGATGTTTAAAAAAGGCTTTGTCCGCTTTCCTGTTCTTGACTGGACAGTGTGTAGCATATGCATACCATGCTTACCCCTTGTTCGCCATTCCCCTGATCCTGATCCACAAGTCTTCCTTGATTCCTTGGATCAGTGATATGGTATGTTGTTGAAATAGTCGGAAAACAGTGTGCAGTATTTTAAGAAAGTGCTAAACACTTAGTAAACTAGTGAGAAAATATGTTTGCACACAAGAGAAGTATCCTCCTCTTTGTGTGGCTTGGGATCAGTCAGTTCCCCTCTCTTTGCTACCCTGTGTCTCAGATTTTGAAGTCTCTGGTAGACTGCCCCATACCTCAGGTCAGTGTGTCCTCTGCCCTACTGTAATAAAGATAGCTGGTGTGCAAGCACTGCTACCTTCCAAAGATAGCAGGCATCACTGCATTAGTATTTCTGTGTGCACCCCGCATCCTGTCTTTATGGGCGCTGAGATTCGGATACAAAGCACCTGCAAGTCAGCTTCCCAGTGGCAAAGTAGTATGGAAGAGTCTCCATGCTCCAGAGCAAGGTTGGAAGGAAACCTGGTTCCTAAAAACAAGTCTATGTTTGTACAGGATTCTCTCATTATGAGGAACATAGTGATTTTCCATGACAGTGAAAAAGATCATACTCTAATTTGCTCTGCCAAATGTAAGGATTTTTGAATTTCTACAAGTTTCATGAGTAAGCTGGTTAGAACAACAGCACAGGATGAAGGCAAGAGGAAATGTAGATGAGTGCATGATGAAAATAAATATTAAAATGACCTGTTCAAATTACTTATATGTGTGAAAAGACAAAACTTTTGCTGTATTTTTTGAATCAGGCAGAATCTTTACATACTCTTGAATAGCTGACATATGCTTTTTGTTTTGTCAACCGAGTTAAGTCAAGCCTTATTTTCTTTTTGTAGTATTTAACAGTACTTCCTTGTTCAGGTCACAAAACATAGAGGTTCTCAGTGCACTTTGGACTTTTCTCTGTAACTTGCACATAGGAATCCTCATTTTTAGGCTCAAATATGTGTATGAAGACCTTAATTAAGAAAAAATATTTTTATGAACTATCTTGCTTGTAATGTTCAGTTGTTTGTGTCTGTGGCATTCCCAGCCCCCACCACTCTCTTCTCTGTGTTTTGCATTACTAGTATCTAAAAGCTACCTGCTGACAAGTTGTTCACCTTAGTTTTCTGCTCTGAGAACTGTGCTGCCTCTCTCAAATAGTTTTAAGTAGTATTTGTCACTGTATTACATACTGACCATGGTGGTCAAGTTTAGCTACCTCTTCTGTAACTTAAGGTTGCCTGTGTCTGTAGATTAGACAATAAAGGGCAAACGGTTTAATTAATCTTAATACCATTTTGAGCCTACTGCTGTAATCAGTTGATCATGTTTATACATGTACTTAGGATGACATAAAATCCTACTGAAATAAAAAGGACTTCAGCGGACAAGCAAGATCCATTGCTTGCTAATATCAGTAGTTAGGCTTGTTTTAAACAAGACTGGATTTGCTTTGATTTCTAGATTAGTACAGGTTACATTGAGCAGAACATTTAATGTATCTCATTGATTTTCCCAGTAATACTGTTGAAACACAAATCACTGCTCTAATCATTTATTTTACCATTAAAATTCTGTATGTAGATCTGGTCCCCTGGGATATCAGTGTGTAACCAGATACTCCATGATCTAATCAGGTTCTGCAAAGAATATGCAATCACTTCAGCACTTAGCAGTAGAAAGCTTCATCAGAATGAAAAATTTATCTAATATTTAAAGTAAAATGCAGTTCAAAGAGACAACCATGAAAAGTAGGGGTGTACGAAATTTTAAGACTTTTCTCAGATTAAACAAAGCCAAATCCAAGCCACAGCCTAAGATGATTTGTCGTGACTCTTTTTGTTAAAGAAGAAAATGTTATAGCTGTCATTTCAGTTTATAGCATTTGTTCCAGTTTGGTTAGAATAGCATTGCCATCAGAAATGCCTGACTAGCAGGATTTCATTAATGTGATATTTACTTGCCACTGCATGCATGCTTTGGAAAATAATTTTTAAAAGCACCTACAAAAGCATCAGTATCAGGAAAGACTTGTGCTCTGAACGTATTCTGATGCTAGGATTTGGATCTCTGAGGGCCTAGTGCTTCATTCCATTTCAGAAATAAAAGGCCTGCTGACCTTGAAGGAGTTTTGCAAGCTGTATGACATAGACTGAGGAGCAGACTCACTGGCCATAGCAAGTCTGACCAGAAGCATCCCCTCCACCTGGGACAGTGGGTTTGTAGCTCTCACTGCAGCCAGACTGTGTTTCTGTATAAACTGCCAGATTTCACTACCAGGTATTCAGAAGGCTAGTGGTAGACAAGGGCAATGAGCATCTCCTAGGGTCCGCTCATCTCTCCATAAAGAAAGACGAAGTTCCTTACAGAGGAATGATCATGTGTTTTCAGATGTCCTTAGCTTTATCAGCTGTTTTCATGTAAATGTCTAAATGCTGAACAAAATAAGTTGTTGTTTTTTTGTTTTATGGTTTTGTAGCTTTTTTCTTTTTTTTTTTAGTGGACATACCTTATGATGGAGAATTTTGCATAGTATCTTACATATTTGTATTCAACTTTATGTAGTGGAAAATGATAACTTCTGTACATCAGTATGTTAAGTGATGCGTCTCGTTCTTGTCAAGAGCATGCAGTGGAGTTTCTGTATTTTATCAGTGGAATGCAATGCTATCTCTGGCTCTATCTGTTCTTATGTAGCAAAGGAAAGCAAAGAATTTTAGAGGTAAATTTAAGAAGGAAAACAGCATTCAGTAATCTTATTGATGACCAGATAAGACTTGAATTATAAAGAAAAGGTCAGAAAGGTTACATGTCCTTGGCATTTTTCAACTCATATTTTAGCTAGCTTTAAAAGTATGTGTGGGATGTTGTTAGTTTGGTTTGAGTTTTTTTCTTTGGTTCTGCAAACTAGACAGTGCACCATTCAGTGTGCAGGGCCAGACTCTCCTCTTCTTGTTGGCTCTAGGGATTTATAATGTGACTAGCTTTGCTGGAGTTACACAAGGATTGCTCTGACATTCAGAGCCCACTGACTTCAGTGAGCTTAAAGGCCTGAGTAAGGGCTGGAAGAGAGCGAGGGAGTGCCCAGACAAGCAGTGAAACAGGCATTACGTTTCCTTCAAGATCCTGCAAGGTGCTGATGGGGTAAATGCTGCCAAATAAATGCAATATATTAAGAAAAAGGGCAGGGGAGGAGTCTGTTGGTGTTGGTACACGTCAGAAAATTATGTTTATTAAGAAAGAATCACTAATGACTTTTAATATATGAATACAATATTGATCATTTTCCTCTGTTGTGTTTTTAGGCTCTCATGACTCATTTAGCTTCTACATTGATGAAGCCTCTCCAGTTGGGCCTGAACAGCCAGAGACGGTCCAGAATTTTGTGTCTGTTTTTGGGACGGTGGCTAAGAAGCTGATGAGGAAGTGGTTGGCTACACAAACCATGAACTTCACCAGCCAGCTGGGGGCAGGTATACGGTATTTTGATCTTAGAATTTCCACCAAGCCCAGAGACCCAGACAATGAACTCTACTTTGCTCATGGTTTATTCAGTGCCAAAGTCAAGGAGGGTCTGGAAGAGATCAATGCATTTCTCATTGACCACCCAAAAGAAGTGGTCTTCTTGGACTTTAATCACTTCTATGGGATGCAGAAATACCATCATGAAAAGCTTGTCCAAATGCTCAGAGACACATACGGAAACAAAATGTGTCCTGCTATATTTGCCCATGAAGTCAGCCTCCAGTACCTGTGGGAAAAGGAACACCAAGTGCTGGTGTTCTACCACAGTCCAGTGGCTCTCGAGGTACCATTTCTTTGGCCAGGCCAGATGATGCCAGCTCCCTGGGCAAACACAACAGATCCAGAAAAACTGATTCAATTCCTCCAGGCATCAATCACCGAAAGAAGAAAGAAGGGCTCCTTTTTTATATCTCAAGTAGTGCTGACGCCAAAGGCTAGTACAGTGGTGAAAGGGGTTGCTAGTGGTCTCAGAGAAACGATCACAGAAAGGTAAGTTTCTGGGAGGTAACGTGTTGACTATGCTGGATGTGTGTGTTGGTAATGCTGCTTTTCTAATTCCTTTTAAAGAAACGCCAGCAGATGTGTTTCTTCCATGCTATTTTGGGTTAGTCAGAACTTGGGCATAATCCTAAAATATTTAAAGAGAAACACATTGAAGGAGAAGATTTTGTATCTTGAAAGAAAATCTGACCCTAAAGCCTAATGAGATCTTACAGGATTGGCTTAGCCTTTTTTTTTTTTTTTTATGGAATGCAGGTTTTTCCATTTGTTTTATTTTTCAAATGTGATTTCTTACCATATGCACTGAACATCTTGCCTCAGATTTCCTTACTAGGTGTGGACAAATCTATCTGAATGATCTAGATCATTTAAGTTTTTATTTATGCATCAGGCTTCAGGTATTGGGCTTTTTTTTTTTTTTTTTTTTCATTTTGGCTCATCAGAAAAGCCCGACACTGCAGAATTTGCATCCTTAACTACCTTTACACACCTTAAGGGTAAGTGGCTTTTCCTTCTGCATACCATCACACATTATATCAAAGGTATCAGGACATCATTAGAGAGAATTTGCCTTCTAGCAGGTCTTCATTTATCATACAGGAAAGAAACTGCAGACCGTTGTAGAGGCTCTGTACTTGGAATACTGTGTGACAGGCCATTAGTTGTTACATCACAAAAAAAGCCATCTGTGCAAGACATGCATTATTTATACCATTCTGACTTTGATAAATCACAGCCAATTTTCAGCTTAAAGGCATGTATGTATGACTGTGTTCTTGACAACTTGGTAGGAAACATGAAATTTAATGCCAAGACACAAGAGCTTTTTTTTCCCCCTTATAAGAAAGAAGGGTTGCAGAGTGTAAAAAATTTATAATGGAGGTCAGTGGCCTGATAATGTTCTGCTCTGCATGGATGTGCCTGTGTCAGGAAGGTCTGTTGGGAACACTGCCCTCTTCTATGAGGTAAATGATGCAGTGTCTGTGACACTGCAACCTGCAAAGAAAACATGCCTCATTTTTGGGAAAGGTTGAGCCATTTTTATGGCAGCTTTCCAAAGCAACTGTTAACTTGAAAAAAGAGGGAAAAACTTTACCTGAAATGATAAAACACTGACACAGAAGGTTTTATAAGCAGGGGAATATGGTTCAGAAGTGCTTGTATGACTGCACTTGCAGCTGCTTGTATATCCTCCACATATGTTTTTACAGGCTCCATTGGACTTGGGATCTGCCTTTCTGCTGGGTCTGAAGAGCACTTCTCTGTACTGAAATACTACTTCATTGATGGATTTACTGTTAAACACTCACCTTGTTGTTCAGGGATTTGTTTTCCCTGGTAAACATCTTTCTGAGTGTTCTTTTAGAACATTAAGTAGCACAAACTATCAGGTTCTTCTTAAAACTCACTACATCAATAAAATAGGCATTTAAAAACCTTCTCTTGTTCTCTGGCTCATAATGTGCTTCCTTGAAGCTGTTTGGAAAAATAAAAACTTCAAGTGAATTCTGGATGTGTTTGGCTGAGCTCTGAATGACTTGAGCCTTTGAACTCTTAGTATGCCTTTCTCTACTGTAAATTTCAAGATGATACGTAACTTGAAATGTCAGTAAATAATTGTGCAGGAATACCTGTAAATGTTGTTTCTCCAAATTGCAACTGAGATTTTTCACATGAGCCACAAGCGTGTAATCATGTCGGCTGCATGAGCACTTTTTTCCTTCTTTATATAATTCTTTTAACCCTTGCAAAAGAAATGGACCTTTAAAATTATGTCCAAAGCTGATATTTAGTCTTCCAACTGTGGCATCTCATTTTGAATTTTTATTTGTATTTTTATTACAAAAATACACTTCAGGAAGACACAGGCTTTGAATGTGTATTAATCTACATGGAAACTGAGCTTGTATATTGAGTTAACTGCTCTAAAAGTAAACATGAAGTATTCTCAACTGCTTGTCACTTGATGATGATCCTGAAAAAAAAAAAAAAAAAAAAAAAAGATGAACAATTAAAGGACGAAGCACAATTAGTAAAATTTACAGAATTCTCTTCAATCTTGCTGCATTAATGTTTTAGTAACTTAAAAGTATATGATCTTTACTAAAGGAGCTGGGGCTTATGTTCCATCTGGGCTGTGTTTGCTACTTTGAACCATATTGTAATTATTTATAAAGAGATTATTCTGTCCTTTCCAGAGTAAATACACAGATCAAATCCCATTATTGTGTCCAGGTAGATAACATATGTGCTTTTGTTGCCCGTTGGTGCATAGATTTATATATATTATATTATTTTCTGCTTATTAATAACTGCTGGAAAAGAGCTTTACATTAAGAATGCAGTATCATGCTTTCGGTGGCAGTTTTTTAACCATGATTGGGTGGGGTTTTTCCTGCACATTGAACATTGAAATATCTGAATGCAAATGTGTAATAAGGTTGAATTTTTCAAATAATGCTGATGTGGGATTTTTTCTCCCTAAATTAAGTGCTACTTTTAAGAAATTTTTCTTTGCCATAAAACCTGTAATTGTCTCTTTTTTCGACCATCTGTACAGTGGCCGTTTTCATTTACATATTGACTTAATTATGAAAATATGGCAAAGTTTAGATCTTTTCGGATCCAATAAAACATCCCAGGTTTTGATCTCTGAAGTTACTTGTTACTCATGAGATTATTTATGATTTGAAGAGCAGAGGACACCTTAGAGGGAGAATTTGGTTTCTCTCAGTTGCAGCATCCATCAGAGCAGAAAAACTGAAGACACTGCAGCAGTGCATGTTCCTTTCTGCTGCTTTGTAGCTTACGTTGTGGCTCCTTAGCCAAGATGGTTGGTTTCATAGCTTTTCATCATGGCTGCTTCTGGTGGTGGATGTTCACATATTCAAATTGCAGTAGAGCGGTCTCTTAAGGTGATAATTTCAGAAGGAGAAGTGATGTTTTTCTCAACCTGTTCCCCACAGCACAGATATGCGAGATGGGAAGTGATGGTAACCTTGATTAAAAACACCAGTTTCATGCTTCTAATACTGAGTTCAGTAGACCAGGACTGTTTTTTACTGATAGTGATTGCTCACAGGCTTTGCTGTCATCACAGGTAATGCTCTGTGGGACAATAATTTGAAAGAAGGAGAAATTACAAAGTCATCAAGCTTTCTATCCTGCACAAATACAAGAGGGAAAACCCTTTCTCATAAGCTTTTCCTAGGACCTCAGTTCAGCATTACAAAACTTTGTAACGCAGCTTTCATCTTCATTACTCGAATAAGGAGAATCGTTCACTTGCGTGCACATTATGTTTCTTGGATTTGATGAAAAACTTTGAGGGCTAACAATATGTTTTCAGGCTTAACATTCTGTCATGCACAGTTTAGATGCCAAGAAATACACTTTGATTAGCAAATAGTACATACCAAATGAATTAAATTCTCTCTGCTTATTGAATTAACTTCACAGTGAGACAGCTGCCTTTAGTATATCTGAAAGGCAGTTGTGAGACAACCTTTTGATGAGTGTAGAGCTGTTCTTCATAGTAATCGAGTTTGTTTTCTGATTTGCAGTAAAATTTGTAATTTTATCTCTGACACTGGAGACAAGCATGATATTCTCTTTATTGTCTCTGAGGTTGAATAATACAGAAGAAGAAGAATAGATTGCCTTCAGAGGATGCAAAAACCCTGTGGTACTTTTAAAGCTTTCAAGAAATAGAAAATAAACACATACCCAGCCAATTGTCACTTGATTTCCAAATTAATCTTAAAGGATAATGTTCCCTGTAGCTCATATGTCACTAAATCCTTGCCTACCATGCTAAATCTTCCCCCTTAGCAACCAAAGCAAATAAAAAAAAAAAATAAATAAAAATCCTACACATGAGAACGAACCTTTGAAGTGGAGGCAGAGCAGCCATACTACTAACCAAAAGGGTGGTAAGTAGCCCACAGAAGCTGTCTGGAGAAAAGCCATCTTTGGGTGCAGTCATAAAGTAAGCAGGGTCAGATTTAGCTAGCAAATAGGTGGATATTATATGAAAAATAATCCCTGAAATTGCAAGAAGTGGGAATTTTGAGTCGGTTACTGTGGGTGCACTACTCCAAGTGATAGCTCAGCCAACTGAATTTTTGAGTTTCTGTGTTGCTGGAACAGTGGGATTTGATGATATTTTGATCCACACTTGGTACTGTCTGATGCCATTCTTAAACTGTTTTATGTGAAAAAGAAAAACAACAGAAATGGCAACTGTGGCAATTGTAGTTTGCTAATTTTCTGGGCATGCTTCCTGCTTGTAACCTTGATGTCCATCTCCATTATGGGTTGCAGGAGAGCAGTGGGCTCTGATGAGCTGGTTTGGGTTTAGGACTTGGCAACCTCATGGCAGCACAGGTGGTATGTGAGCTCTTTAAATGTTGAGAGGCAACTGTGAACTTGATCCCTCACCAATGTGTATGATACAAGCACACTTGTCCCTCACTGCGTTAGACTTTTGGAGGTGGCTTTTTTTTTTTTTGCTTTTTTTTTTTTTACCCCAGAAGGCACAAACTATCATTCTGGTATATTACTATGCAATTCTGAAGTACTCTGGGGAATACAGCCAAATCCTTAGTATTTCTGTTCTTCCTCAAAGTATCTTTAATTACTTTTCTAGTCTTTCCACACAAGAGGCAGTCTCTGTGTTTGCGCACAGGGGAGCACAGGGAGACCTTGGTTTCATCTGAAGCGTCTAGATGCCACGTCAACAGGCCTGTGCAGTAGAATTCCAAATGGGCTGTGTGTGTTCAGGCTGATTTTTCTGGCAGACATTTTAGTGGCATTTCATCATCAGAGCATCTGTCTGCACAAGGATTTTAGTATCATGTTCCCTTGGGAAGTGCTGGGTGGTTGTGTCTAATGGCTTTGGTGATGAACATGGAATAGTATTAAAATGCCACAAAATACAAGAGCACAGGATATTTAATAACTTTGTTAGGGAAAAGTATTTATCTACA